TAGATTCCCTTTAAGGTCCATAGGACCTCTAATTAAACAGAAGGATAATGCCAATGGTAGACAGAGTCAAGGAAAACTTCCAGAGATACAAGCTGAATTCCAAGGTCAAGGTACATCAGTGTATGATCACGCCATCTGTCACTTTCTGAGTGAAACTGAGCTCAAAGGAAGAGAACCCAGGAGGACTCCGTTGTTGAAAGAAAAAAGCCAGACTGGAATTTGCTAAAATGCATATTGACATGCTACAATTCTTCTGGGAGAATGGCATTTAGACAGGTGAGTCAAAACTGGAGCTTTTTTTTTTTGGCAAGTCACATCAGCTCTATGCTTACATGTGCCTACTGTGAAATATGATAAAGGCTCAGCTACGTATTGAGGCTGCTTTGCTGTCTCTGGAAGGAGGTGCCTTGAATTTGTTGAGGAAATGGTGCGTTCTTCTTTTTTCATGGAAGGGTACCAACAAATTTGTGCATGTGTGTATACGAACTACCCAAAACTCCCCTTACCATTTGAACTGGCTGTGAAGCCCTTGGCTATAGCATTTAAAAGCAATTACATTAAAGGCTATACTAAAGGTCCTGATGTGTGCATGCTGACAATACCATATTACTTTGGTTCCAATCTGTAATGTTCCCAATATCCTTACTTTATTAAGAGTTATTTAACACTGTCAGGTTAAAAGTGAACTTAACCAAATTTGTCTGAAGGCCAAATTAGATTTCATCTGGTCTCTAACCGGCCCCCTTACCTGGGTTTAAAGGTGCCCATACACTGCACGATTCTCGTACGAGGGAAATCCCGCGATCGTACGAGAATCGTGCAGTGTATGGAAGGCGTGCGACCGTTTCTACTGTACGGTCACACATCTTCCATCGAACAAGCAGGCTGGAAAACCCGCCGGGAATCGTACGATTCTCGGCGAGTTAGTGGCCTGCTTGTTTAACAACTGCCGAACGGGCCAGTGTGCGCACACGCACACTGCCCGTTTGCCGTCCTCGCAAGCCGCCCCTCATTGCAGTCATCGCAAGTACGATCTGCCTGTCCAAGATGGGCAGATTGTACGTTTTTTTTAAGTACCTTACAACCCTCGCAAGACAAAAGTTTTGCGAGGGTTGTAAAGTGTATGGGCACCTTAACTTTAACTCAAATTTAAACAGTACACTGTTGACATCTGTGACTGGTCATCACTGATCACAAGGTACACAGTTGCTCAGACCAGGTCTGTTCACTGTGCCTGTGAACCGAGCTGCCCTCAAATGGCTGGGTGCAAAGCCATTAAACTGGTACAGTGGCTGCCCGATGTGTATTTCTGCAATGTCATTTATAAACCGCATTGCAGAAATAAACCTCCACCTCTTAGCCATTTTAAAATGTCCAGCAGTACATAAGTGGTTAACGTGTATGCATTTTTTTTTTTCGTTTTAGACGTGTGTGGAAGGATTAGAACCCTTTTCTAATCTTTTTTTGCTGCGTCTCTGCTGCACTGGTAATCAATGTTACCAAGACAGAAAGTTATGGAAAATCCAAGATATTAGAATGCCACAAAAACCGGCGGTGAGCAGAAATCTTCAAATGGGGACACTTGTTCTGGTGTTAACTGTGTAAGAATAAACATTTCCTTCACTTTAGAGAAATTTCCTCTCCCTTTCTGTTAAGTGTCCAGAACAGGAAGAGAAGGGGAAAATGTATAGGAGTTTTCACCCTTCCCAATCTAAAACGTAATAAATAGGTTTTGACTATACATATACTTTATGGAGCAGACCACTTATAATATCAAAGAAAGAAAACACCGGGCACCTGACTTGGTGCAGTAATCCTTGTTATTGGTGAAAGGAATAATAAAATACAATGTACTCACAAGTGGAGCAAGAAAAATGTCAGATTGGACTGATCGTCCTCATCTAATGAGGACGATCAGTCGAATCTGAAATGTTTCTTGAAATTTTTCTTGTATTTTATTATTCCTTTCACCAATAAAAAGGATTACTGCACCAGGTCAGGCGCCCGTTGTTTTCTTTCTTTCTCATACAGCCTTCAGGATCCCTTGTCTGCTACGGGGCAGCCGTGCTGGATTCCAATTAACCCTTTGGACCACAGGAGGGCTCCTTTGGTTATATATATTTTCTAGCAAGTCTCCCTAAGCTGTTCACAGCCACTGCGGCAACTAACAGGTATCCTAATTGGTTTTATCCTTGGCAGACTGTACCTGGACCCCTCAAGAAGGAAACTGTGGAGCTGGCCTGTATTGTGCTTAGGGCACTGAATCCTGCATGGGGCTCTCTCCTTGTTACGAATGGTCTGTCCCTGTTGTAGATCCAGGTGTTTTAACAAGACATTAACAGTCCCTGTAGCGGATGTCCCTGTTTTTAAGGACCATGAGGAGAAGAGGTTGGAGGCCCACTTTAAGGCCTTTATTGCCCTGCTATGCAATCTGCTGTTGTTACCACTGTGATGTGTCAGTCCTTATCTGTATGGTCAAAGGCTATGATTTGGGACCCTGGGACCATCCAGACAGACCCCACTGCTTTTAAACATTAAGAGCTCTTCCCTGTGGTCTTTCACTACAGAGTAGATGTCATGGCAGATACCCTCAGACTAATCTCCAGGATGGTCTCCTGTCTGTCCATATGCAACAGATTCTGTGGCTGAGGTGCAAGACACACTTTGATTGCATGCCCTTACTTTTCACTTTTCTTTCTGCTTACCAAAATCTTCCAAAAGATGGTTGGATCTTCTAGTTGCCCTAAGTTAGCTCCCTCAGCCTGATCTATGTCTTCCCTCCTCTGAAACTCTTGTCTCGCCTTCTTTGCAGGATCGAAATGCAATGATTCATTCCACTGATCCTCATTGCTCTCAACATACCCAGCAGACCGTGGTACACAGACGTAGTCAAGCTCCTGGCAGACTCTCAACGGCCACTTCCTGATAATCCAGACCTACCATCCCAAGAACCAATATTCCACCCTCAGTCACTGGCTTTAACTGCCTGGCTATTGAAGCCCAGGTCTTGAAGGACAAAGGCCTCTTAGAAGCTGTTGTCCCTGTGCTTCTAAATGTAGGAAGTTGACCTTCTGTAAGGTCTATCATTGCACCTGGAAGGCTTATATCAAGTATGTTTCATCCCAGGAAGCACTCCAACAAATTTAATTTTTCTTCCAGTCTGACCTAGACAGTGTTTTGTCTTGAGTAGGATCAAGAGTCAAATTACTGCCATGGCAATTTTTTTCCAGAGGCCAACTGCCTCTCACTTTGTAGTTAATGCCTTTGTGCAGTATGTTGCTCACATTGCCCCCCTGTGCCCAATCTGGTAAGGCCTTTGTGCAGTATGCCCCCCC